TCTTTCTTATGTGGAAGCTAAACCTAAAATACACTGTGACATGATAATTAGACAGGGCTCTAGGCATTCACACACAGTGAGACCAAAGGAAGAACTCTTAGGGGAGGAGCACAAAGGTGGAAAGCCTTTGTGCCTCTGATCATATAAAATAATATTTATCAAAATGAACTCCAGGAAATGAAAACAAGAGAATTTTGTCTTGTTTGTTTAACCTGTCTTTAAGAGTGTAAGGGGCACACAGAAATGGAAGGACAAAGGGACAAAGCAGTGGTACTCACTAGATACAATGTTGAAAATGAAGTATATAACTTGTGGGTGGAGATGGGAAGGAAACACTAGGAGAGAGTGAGGGAAGTGATGACTGTCTAAAAATTGTACTCTATGGGTGACTTAGGTAACTGCAACCCCTTTGTACACCACACTTATAATCACAATAAACAATTTAAAAAAATCTTCAGGGACAGTACCTAGGCCCTGATTGCAAGCTCTAGGACTGGCAACCAAAAAAAAAAAAAAGAAAGAAAGAAAATACAACAACAAATTCTGGCATGGATGCAAGATAGTAGAAACCCTCACATGGTGTTGGTGGGAATATAAATAAGGGTAACCATTGTGGAAATCAGGACAGAGGTTCATCAAAAATTAAAATTATACATGCTTTATGACTCCAACATCTATTTTTTTTGTCAGTTGTGGGGCTTGAACTCTGGGCCTGGGCGCTGTCCCTCAGCTCTTCAGCTCAAGGCGAGCACTCTACCACTTGAGTCACAGCACTACTTCCAGTTCTCTGGTGGTTTAATGGAGGTAAGAGTCTCATGGATTTTTCCTGCCCAGGTTGGCTTTGAACCACGATCCTCAGACCTCAGCCTCCTGAGTAGCTAGGATTACAGGCAAGAGCCACTGGCTCCCGGCTTACTTTTTTTTTTTTTAAACATATGAAGGAATATAAATCAGCATACAGGAAAGATATCTGCATAGCCGTATTTATTAAAAAATTATTCACTATAGCCAGGCTGTGGAAATAGCTGAGATGCCCAATAATAATGAATGGATAAAGAAAATGTTATATATTTTATTCACTCTTGGTTGTTGGGCACATCAGCTGATTATATATATACTGTATATAATATGTATTATATATATATGGAAGTTTATATATACAATATGTAATGAGTGTGTATATATATTGCGTATACAGACCATGGCATATACTCAGCCATAAAGAAAATGGTAATCTTTGCAAGAATATGATGGACTTGAAGATCATCAAACAAGTCAAGCTAAAAAATCCAAGCCTGGCATATTTTCATTTGTTTGTGGACACAAATGATGATGATGTTGATGATGACAATAATAATAATGGGACATGCATATAGAAGGGGGTGGTCTAAAGGGTCATGGGAGGGAGGATTGGTAAAGGAAAGGATACTGAGACTGAAGAGGATGAAAGTAGGAGCAAGATAGATAGATAGATAGATAAAAGTAGCACAGTCAAACCCATCAAACACCGTTTGTAATAACGGGAAAGGGCATAATAGAGGTGGTAATTTTGCTCTGTGTATACCATGCTTCTATGGAATTATCAAAAGAAAACACTTCTATACTACTTCCTGCTAATTAAAAATTAAATAAAAAATAAAGTAAGGGTTTATGATAAAAGGAAAATAGGGGCTGGAGGGTGTTATAGCTCTGTGGTAGAACATGTTCTTAGCATAAGCAAGGTCCTGGTCTCTATGCCCAACATCAAACAAAATGTATTATGTTCTCATTCTACCCAGGCCATAGGTACCTCTATGTTGTAGAGAAGAGATGTGATCTCATCTGGCCTTTGCTTTCAGCTTCTGGGAGGTAATCTCTACAGTCTTTGGAATGTTATGCTTGACAGGAGTGGCCTCTCTTTGCCTGGGAAATCTTAGTCAGTCCCACAGTAATGCTATGTTTTGGTGAGTGCTTTGGGTCATAAAGTATCAACTTGACCTCTGAAGGGGCTAGAAATTGAGATTAGCCACAGGGTAACTAACCTTATCTGTGTAACTAACCTTAACTGTGTAACTAACCTTATCTGTGTAACTAACCTTAATAAGAACTATGGATACCGTGGCTCACGTGGGCTGTCCTGTTGTAATAGGAGATGTATGTTGTTGCATATCAATAATGAGAAGGTTACATGGTCCTGGATGTATAGGAAATAACCCTGGGAGACTTGTGCTTATATCCTTAGGCTCTTCTGGAGCCTGCTCTGTGTACTTCCAACTTTGGCTGATTGTAACCTGTAACCTTTGGGTGTGAGAAACCACAAGCATGTGTATAAAAGCTTTCAGTAAGTTCTGTGAGTTTTTCTACAAGGTTATGCACCCCCCTACCTCCAAATTGAAATTGATACCAATGATGAAGGCTTATAGACTGTTTTCAAACTCCAAGTTTCACAATGTCTACCAGCAACAGTCCAAATGAAGGAGAAGGTTGTGATTTCAGGGCTTTTGTTATATAATAACAAGTTAAGTCTAACCAGGGACTACTGCTCGGATCTTTCCTGGACCTCTAGACTTCTCTCCTTTCTCAATTCTTTCCCTTTCATTCTATTTTTTCCCCATCTGCCTTTCTGTTCTTTTCTTTTTCTTCTAGCTAGGTGGGAATCTTAGAGCGTTCTCTTCCCAGGGATTTTGGGAAGAAGGTGGTCTCACATTTCCTAGAAATCAGTGCCCAGGAGGCTACAATGCCTGGGAGTGAGAGGTAGTGTGGACACAATAGGAACTTTGACAGTGAAGGTTCTGGCACATGTCAAGAATTGTATTGATTTATATATGTACATGAGATCCAAGTCGGCCAGATGGCTGGCATGAGCTAGGTGAACCTGTTTGAGAGACTGAAACATCCACTTTCGGATTCAGCATTTTTACCCCAAAAGTCCATGTTCTTCCTATTCACCTTTCTATAACAATATTAGCAAAGGTTCTTTAACCTAATATTTAAATATAAATGGAATGGGGGGGAGGATGGGAAGGGATGGGCAGGGGAAACAAAGGAGGAAGTAACAATGTTTGATAAGAAATGTACTCATGGGGCTGGGAAGATGGCTCAGTGGTAGAGCACTTGCCATGCCTGAGGCCCTGGATTCAATTCCTCAGCACCACATAAGCAAAAAGAAAATAGCCGGAAGTGGCGCTGTGGCTCAAGTGGTAGAATGCTAGCCTTGAGCTGAAGAGCTCAGGGACAGCACCCAGGCCCAGAGTTCAGACCCCACGACCGGACCCCCCTCCCCCCAAAAAAAGAAATGTACTAATTACCTTGCCCTTGTAATTGTAACCCCTCTGTATAGTATTTTCACAATAAAAAAAAATAAATGGAATGATCAATAAAAATTTATATACTAAACATTATTTATAAATCAATGAAATTTAGTGTTGAATTAAGTATCATTTACTATTAATAATACAATATATATAATAATATATGTGTTACATACATGCACATGTATGCATCTATCACTAAACTTTTATCTCCTCCTGGTATTATTATCATCCCCTCTTCCTGAGACTCAAACAATGAAACTCAGCCAGAGAGTAAGTTTCCCATAAGCTTACTACTACACATTTTAAACTAGTCTAGCTACTTTGAATAGTAAGTTAATTTTTGTAAGTTAATTCTTCAAACAGTATAATACTAATTTGGTAAGTATTATTAATTGATGGATGAATAAGGGGAAGTTCAGAGACCTTGTTCAAGGTCATACAATTATGAAGATCTACAGCTTGGATTTGGACTCAGCAGTTTTATCCAGAGTCTGTACTATGGTTTTTTGTTCATTTGTTGTTGTTGTTGTTTTAGTTTTCAAAACAGGATTTATTATCTATCCTGGGTTAGTCTCTTACCAGCCTCAAATTATTAGGCTTATAGACTTGAACCATCATGCCCAGCCATAACCTGTACTCTTAGCCACTTCCTTCTATCTTGTTGAAGAACAAGCTCTTTTTTTTTTTTTTTAATCAGTCATGGGGCTTGAACTCTGGGCCTGGGTGCTGTCTGAGGCAAGCACTCTACCACTGAGCCACCTTTCCAGCCCCGAACAAACTCTCCTCCTCCTCCTCCTCCTCTTCCTCCTCCTCCTCCTCCTTCTTCTTCCTCCTCCTCCTCCTTCTGTACTGGAGATTGAACTCAGGCCCTCACACTTGTTAGGCCAGCACTCTACACTTGAGCCATGTCTCCAGCCCTCTTTTATACTGGTTGTTTTCAATGTAGGATTAGATCTTGGTTTATGCCAGAACCAGTCTGGGCTAAGATGCTCTCCTTTGTGCTTCCCCAAGTTGCTAGGGGTGTCAGGCATGCACTATCATGCTCAGTCTTTGGTTGAGATGGAGTCTTGGAAACTTTTCTTGCCCCCTTCCCTTAAACAGCGGTCCCAGATCTCTTCCTTTCAAATAGGTAGAATTACAGAATTACAGGCTTGAGCCAGCGGGCCTGGCTGGGTCCTTTTCTTTTGATCATCTTGGCTCTTCCTTGAGGCAAGGTTCATGCAGTTTTCATTCCAGGCTGTCTGCACTAGGATCTTTGTTTTCTGGTACAGTCTGGAGGAAAATTGCTGTAAAGATCTCCTAGGCTTCTCATTTGTGCAGCTGCTTCGCACTCATCCATCCCTCATCCCCTAAGAATTGCCGTGGAACTGGGCAACAGCTGTTTATTTTTCATTTCCTTCTTTCTTCCTTTTATTCTTTCGTGATGCTAGGAGGTGAAACCTAGGGCTTTGCACGTGCTAGGCCCGGGCTCAATCACAGCATTGTATACCTCAGGCTTTGAAAACTGTTCTCTCCTGACCGTTCTCTGAGCATCTGCCGCCTGTCTGTGCCAGGGTCTGAGCTGGGCAGATGGGAGCTTGATCGGCTCCTTTTAGACCACACCCTAGGTCCTTGACCACTGGCTCGGATTCTTCCAACGCTGTAATTATTAACTCCTCAGCTAGCTCGCAGACAATAGCTATAAAAGCCGGTGCTTCTCACATCTAACCAGAGACAGTGTCCGTTGGGAGTACCAAGATGAGAAGTAAGGAGTGGGGTGGCAATGAGAGGGTGCGGGCACAAGAGCCAGGTGATGGGACACCAGGACTGACCATGAGGAGGGAGATCGGGCTGTGGAGTGCCGTGTCTTTCAGTGCTGGCTGTATGATCGGCTCTGGCATCTTCATGTCACCACAGGGGGTCTTGGTTCACATGGGCAGCCCAGGAGGCAGTCTTGTGGTGTGGGCAGTCTGTGGTCTCCTGACCATGCTGGGTGCCTTGTGCTTTGCTGAGATGGGGGCTGTGATTCCCGAATCCGGAGGAGAATATGCCTATATCTTACGGACCTTTGGCTCTTTGCCAGGCTTCCTGGTAGCCTACACTTATGTGCTAGTGGGGAGACCAGCCGCCATCGCTGCTGGCTCTCTGAGTTTTGCTGAGTATACCCTAGCTCCCTTCTACTCTGGCTGCACCTCACTGCCCCAGGTCGCAGTCAAGAGCGCGGCTGCCTCCTGCATCCTGATGCTAATGCTGGTCAACATGTGGAGCTCTCGGCTGGCCACTGTCCTGATGAATGTGTGCACAGCTGCCAAGGTGTTCTCGTTGCTGGTCATCGTGGTAGGTGGGGCTGTGGTGCTGGGCCAAGGTCATGGCCGAACTGAAGTTTTCCTGTCTGCCTTCCAAAACACAACACTGCAGGCAGGGAGCATCGGCATGGCTTTCTACCAGGGACTGTGGTCCTTTGAAGGTTGGGGAAGCATCAACTTTGTGACAGAGGAACTAAAGAACCCAAAGGTAAGTCCAGTATACTGCTCCAGGGGTAGATCTCTGTAGCATCTCCAGTTACTGAAGTGCCAATGATCCAGATTTGGGGGTGACTGAGACCATGAGCAAGCTAGTTGGAAACATGGGTTCCCTGCCTGTACTCAAAGGACTTGAATGCCAGCCCACCTTTTAGGTGAGTTTCATGAAGCCTCTCTTCTCAGGAAAGAAATGAACTCTATGGCATCACCTCTGGTTTCCTCCTTCTCAAATAGGTACTATTAACTCCATTTTCCACACGCAGAGAGTAAAGTTTGGAGAGGGGAAATTATTTTGAATTTGTATTGTCCACAGTGGTCAGGATTAATGGCTCTGCTAGACATCTGGCATTTTCTCTACAGAGCATTGCTATAGACACTTAATTCCGTTGCTAAAGCCTGGGGGCTACTTGTAGACACAACCTACTTCAGAACAAAGGAATAAGCCAGTCCTTCCTCCCATCAGTCTAGGGGTGACCAGTCATCATCATCCTGCGGGAACAGAGCAGCTTAGGACTCCACTAGAGCATGTTTTGTGACTATGGATATTAAGTTTTTGCTATGAGTGTATTTGCTTAGGATATTGTTGTTTGTGATGATGATGATGATGTTGATTTCTCCCTTGCAGGAACTCAAATTCTCAGGGAAAGAAGACTGTAAATCTTTTCCTCTATGTCCCCTGGACTGATTTAGGGCTTATTATAGCTGAGTCTTGGCAAAGGCTCCCTGGAGGATGGTTGGGGAGAAGTTAGGAGAATAGTGACTTAGAAACTGAAGCCCAAGAGTAGAAAGAGAGCCAGCTGTCCAGGGACTTCGTTTTTATTTTAGCATATAATTCTTTGTGCTTCAGCTATTTGTGTAGAAAATCCACCATCATAATAGCTGGGGTACCAGTGGTAAAAATCACTCATAGCAGATGGCTTGGGCTGAGTACAGGAAGCAACTCTATGGCTGCCAGTGAATGGTTAGAGTGTGCTCAGGTTGGCTTTGGCATTGCAGAGCAGAAACAAAGGCTCCTTCAACTTGCAGTGCTCGAATCTCTGCCTCTCTGAATCTGGGCCCTGGCCTTGGAGTTAGGCCAGAGAAAGGATGGCGTGGGCGTGGGGAGGGTGTTAAAAATAAAGGAGACAGGGGCTAGGAAGGTGGCTCAGTGGTAGAGTGCTTGCCTTGCATGCCTGAGGCCCTGGGTTCGATTCCTCAGCACCACATAAGCAAAAAGAAAAAAGCTGGAAGTGGCTCTGTGGCTCAAGTGGAAGAGCGCTAGCCTTGAGCTGAAGAGCTGAGGGACAGTGCCCAGGCCCCACGACCGGACCCCCTAAAAAAAATAAAGGAGACAAAATTCAGTGCTTACAGTGAGGATCAGCAAAGTTTTCCTATAAAGGATCTGAGAGTTAAGATTTTAGGACCCATAGGCTATTGACATCTATCACAGTGACTCAACTCTGTTGTAGTAGCATGAAAGCTGCCAGGTGAACAAAGGAGGGCAGGTGTGTTCCAATAGAACTTCATTGACAAAAAAGCAGGTGGCAGGCTTGATTTGGTCCACAGCTACAGTTTTCTGGTCCCTACTGGATCCAGAATATTTCTGATGAAGATGGGTCTGTATCAAAGCATATCCTAAGGTAATTCTCTGAATACCAGCATTTGAGATTCTGCATTAACTTAGCTCTCCAAAGTATGCATGAGGAGCATCTTTGATCATTTCATACTTTTGCTTCCAAGAAACCATGAAACCTTTGGCAAACCAGGGTCAGGGTTATGGGCAGATTCCCTGGGCTTTAAGTGGAGAACTAAGAACCGCAAGAGTGAAATCAGAAACTCTCACTGCTCTTGTGGTGTTTTGGCTAGATTCCAGTTCATGGTATAGCTTGGGGCTCTGCTGATTTTTTTAATAGATGCTTATTGGTAGGAGGGCTGCCCAAGGAGGTCAAGTTCAAAAGTATACCAGGCTCTTTGCCCCTGAATAAGTGTGGGGCTGGGTCATATATGCTGAGTGCTTACCTTGCCAAGGGCATCCTGCAGGGAGGCCTGTGAGGGGATAACCTTTGCTACTTGGCTACAGGTCATCTCACCTAGGCCTAGCCAGAGCCAGTTTGCTACTGAATAGCAGACAAATGAGATCTTCAACTTTTCTGTTTCTGTTTCTCTGATCTCTTGGTTGCCCCTACAAGGAATTCCTGTCTTTCCCCTCCATCTAAATCCCTTCTACTCTTCAAGGAGAACCTAGTTGAAGTTGTACCTTCTCCTGGGAGTTTTCATGATCACTCATCTTTCCTTCCCACCAGGTCAGATCCTTTATACCTGTGCTGCTCTGATTCTGGTTCTTGCCCTGTGAAGTCTCCCAGCTCATTTGCCTGAATGCATGTCCATGTTGTGTTAATCACAAACTCATGTAGGAGGGACAGGAAGGGCTCCTGGAAATCCTCATCACCAGCACAGTGCCAGTAATTTTGGGGGGCCTAGATTGACCTTACTGGCTAACATGTGTTCCCCTCTCAAACCCTGCAGCGAAACCTGTTGTGGGCAGTGATGATCGCCATTCCTATGGTCACCAGCTTGTACCTCTTGGTCAATATCAGTTACCTGCTGGTGCTTTCGCCCAGTGAGATCCTCTCCTCTAAGGCGATGGCTGTGGTCTGGGGGTGAGTGCATCCTGAAGTATGTCCTGGGGCACTAGACATTCTGCATGGGGAAAGGTGGCGCTCTGTGTATTTGAACTTGCCTTTGAATGCAATGCTTGCTCCATTTCCAAGGACAGAGGGCCTTGTGGCTATCGTCTAGTTCTTTTAGAGTTCCTTCCCTTGATCTTTCTGCATTCACAGGAAACAGGTTCTGGGGTCCTGGGCCTGGCTGATGCCTGTAGCTGTTGCCCTTTCGACATTTGGTTCTGTCAATGGGACATTCTTCAGTGGCAGTCGTGTGTGCTTCGCAGCTGCAAGAGAGGGCCATATGGTGAGAGATGGGGCTCATGGCCAGGCCTGGTGGGGTGGGGGCTATGCTTCCTATTTTCTGAACCTAGCAATTAGCCTATAGAAAGACTTCCCTCATAAGGCATGAACTCTGTTCTTCTGAGAGTCTGATGTGAGCATTCCACCCTTCTCAGCTTCACCTCCAGGTATCAGGGTGATTATGGCCCTGGGTCACGTGGGGCAGAGGGTGATAAGAGTACAGACACCCTTGTCCTGGCATCTGGTCAACTAGGTGAGCCACAGAGACCGACAACCCAGAAACCGTGGTGTGACTATTATCTTGGGCACACCGGGGAGACATTCCTTCTAGGGGTTCCTCTGGGGACTCCCCAACACCTGCTCTGCTTTCCAGCCCCATCTGCTGTCCATGCTTCATGTGTATCACCTGACACCTGCTCCAGCCCTGATGTTCACCGCAGTTGTGGCCTTGATCTTGATCATCCCAGGAGAATTCAGCACAATAGTGAACCTCTTGAGGCAAGTGAGACTTGTGCTAGGCTGGGGCATTGGGTCATGGGCGTCTGTGTACCTATATAGTCCTGTAGGCACCTTGCACACACATGCACAGATGCTCTTTTGGGGCCTTCACATCTACCCACTTGCACTTATACACATACATATGAACACATGTGTAATACCTCTTGAGCTCTGAGTATACACACCCACACGTGCATGTGTATAAACATATATGCCCACTTCTGGAAGCATCGTGTCAGTAGGGTAGCAACACATTTCAGACATTCTTTTTGAGTCATGTTTCCAAAATTAAATGTGGCTCTTTCTCTTTCTTTCTCTGTTTCCCCAAATTCAATAGGACAGATTTTTTTAAAACCAAAAATAGTCAAAGGCTTCTGTTGTCAATGTTATTATTTTTCTTCTTTCTTGGTCCTTTATTATGTGGAAGTGTATTCAGGCATTATTAACACTCCTTGGAGCCCTTGGCATGGTATGACTTTTCCCCCTTTGCAGTCTGGGTCTGTAGTCTGGATTTGGTTCTAGTGTACTATCTGTTGAGCTCGGTTCACCCATGCCAGCCTATGTTGACCTAGCTAGTGAATGCATCAAAATCGGGAGATGGTCTGACCCCCTTTTACTATTTTTCTCAAAATGGAAATCACAGGCTTAATCACAGAAAAAAAGGTCACTAGCTTTTTTTTAAAGCTCATTTGAAGAGGGTTGACAGGCAGATTCTTTTTAAAAATATTTTTATTGTTTTCTACAAAGGTAATATAGAGGGGCTGCAGTTACGTAAGTCAGGTAAAGAGTACATTTCTTTTTGGACAACACCATCCTTTTCCTTATTCTCTCACAGTTTTTCCCTGCCAGCCCCACTCACAAATGGGATAGTTCATTTTCAACATAGTGTCCAGTGAGTACCACTGCTGCGTTTGTTCACCCTTTGTCCGTCTCTGTGGACAGGCAGATTCTTAAACCAGCAAGCAAGCCTAATGGGTGCAGAGGGAGATCTGGCAATAATTCAGGCATGGCATGTTCCCTTCCTTTGTTGTCTAATTAATCTGGAACAGAACATACTGTGCTTGGCCTGGCTCTTTTAAGAACAGTAAGTAACAGACATGCTTTTTCCTCCTTTCATCTTTTCCCCATGAAAAAGAATAATATCAAGTCCATAGTGAGCATGGGAGGGTGGTGTCTTTGGGTGGAGACTGAGGAAAGGGACTGAGAATATCCTAGCACAGAGCAAGAATCCTAGGAAAAGCCATTCCAACTAGGAACCAATGCTTCCTCAAGAGGTAGCTTGGTTTTGACCTCCAGACATTGCTTGGTCTAGACTCTGCTTCCATGCTTAGATGGAGTTTTTATTAGACTAACAGCAGACACTCAACTGTAGACACTGAAGAGGGCAGAGGTGAGGATTTGGTGGGCTGCTTAGTGGTTCATATGTCATGTCATCAACCCTAAGTGCAAAGATAGGCTGGGAGTGGCGGGGAGGGGCACTCTGCTACAAATGGGCCAATCTCTGCAGAGAACACCAGCTTCCAAGAAGCACAAACATTCCTTCCACTCTTGGGGTCCTCTCTCCAAATCCATCCAGAGAGTGCTTGATCTATTCTTTACTTTTCCTTGTAGCTTCATATCCTGGATCATCTATGGAACCACCATTAGCTGTCTCTTGTACTTGAGGATAAAGACAAAGAATCTTTCCCGAACTTACAAGGTATAGACATTGGGGGTGGGGGTGAGAGTGTGCGAGCGAGCAAGAGAGAGAGAGAGAGAGAGAGAATGTACATGCCTGTGTGTGTGCCAGTTCTGAGACTTGAATTTAGAGCTTGGGTGCTGTCCTTGAGCATTTTTGTTCTAGGCTGGTGCTCTACCACTTGAGCCACAGCTTTATTTTGAGTTTTTGGTGGTTAACTGGAGATAAGAGTCTCATGGTCTTTCCTACTTAGGCTGGATTCAAATTGAGATCCTCAAATCTCAACCTCCTGAGAAGTGAAGATTACCAGAGAGCATTGGATTTTTTTCACCCTCGGCTACTATATGAGGAAACTTTTTGGACTACAGTCTCAAAAGCCCAGAGAAAGAACATAGGGGGAAAGACAGGTACTGGTGGCTACATGCCTGTATTCCTAGCTACTCAGGAGGCTGAGAGCTGAGGATCTCTGTTCAAAGCCAGCCCAGGCAGGAAAGTCCATGAGATTCTTATCTGCAATTAACCACCAAAAAAGTGGAAATGGAACTGTGGCTCAAGAGGATAGAGCACCAGCATTGGGCAAAAAAGCTCAGGGACACTGCCCAGGCTTTAAGTTCAAGCCCCATGACTGGCAAAGAAAAAACAAACAAAAGAATATAAATGAATAGCACTACTATTATATTTGGCTTTCTTTTTCTTATTTGCTGTTGGGGTGGATGAAGGACATCTAATCACAAAACATAGTTCTACTTGCTGTGGAGCTGATCATTTCTCCTTTGGAGGGCCCTAGTGGAGAACAATAGGGGACAAATACAGGGGCTATGCACTTTTATTCACTTAGCAGAGATGCTCACACTGATCCCCACGCCTTTGCTTCCTGAGGAGTTCTCAGCCCAGAAGTTAACTCCATTGGCCCAGTCAAGGTACCCTGGCAGAGAGGAGCTGATGGTGGATGTAGGCAGCAGGAAGCAGAAAGGAGCAGCAGAAACTCCCTTTACACGTATGTCAGTAGCCAAATGCTCACTCTGCCCACTGCAGGTTCCCACCGCCATCCCTGTCATCATGCTTCTGGCTTCTCTATTCCTGGTGCTGGCACCCATCATCGACCATCCCCAGATGGAGTTGTTGTATATCTTCCTGTTCCTGCTCAGTGGTATCCCGGTGTATTTCCTGCTTATCTACTTCCAGTGCCAGCCCAAGTGTTTGCAGGAGACCACCTTGCATCTCCAGCTGCTTTTTGAAGTTGCTCCGACCACAAAAGATTGCTGATTCAGCCGGGCGCCAGTGGCTCATGCCTGTCTGTAATACTAGCTACTGAGGAGGCTGAGATCTGAGGATCGCAGTTCAAAGCCAGCTGGGGCAAGGAAAGTCTGTGAGACTCTTATCTCCAGAAAACCGGAAGTGGCGCTGTGGCTTAAGCGGTAGAGTGCTTACCTTGAGCTGAAGAGCTGAGGGACAGCGCCCAGGCCCAGAGTTCAAGCTCCATGACCGACCCAAAAAAAAAAAAAAAAGATTACTGATTGGAGGACCGGACAGATTCTACACTGCCTTCTTTACAGCAAATGGCCTTTCTTTACCCAAATGGCCTTGCCAGGTTCTCAGTTGGTTGACTGGGCATAACTCTAGTAAATTCTTAAGTGTGGTAGCATAGTTGTTGTGGGGCTGTGGGTTATTCACCAGGACAGCATCCACTTTCTTTAAGACTCACTCCTTCATTCCGGCTCGTGCCTGATACTTGACTCTGAGTATAAACAGCCATTTATTTGGTCATGATTTGTCACCTAGGTGGCCACCGTGGAATAAGTTTACTTTCTGAGGTTTTGGAATGAGAATTCTATCTAGTCTAGGTTGTCTGAGCTGAAGAACTTCACATCTTGGGTGTTTTTGTTTTTTGTTTTTGCCGGTCCTGGGACTTGAATTCAGGGCCTGAGTGCTGTCTCTGAGATTCTTTTGCTCAAGGCTAGTGCTCCATCACGAGCCACAGCACCACTTCTGGCTTTTTCTGAGTGGTTTATTGGAAACAAGAATCTCACAGACTTTTTTTGCTGGGGCTAGCTTCCAACTGTGATCTTCAAATCTCAGCCTCCTGAGCAGCTAGGATTACAGGTGTAAGCTACCAGTACCAGGCAAATTTTAGGATTTATCTGGGGCCATTTCCCATCATGTGGGCGGAGAAGTAAAAAAAGCCATTGTGGTAAGAAGAAAGAAGTAGATATACAAAGTGATGTGCTGAGCAGTTATGTAAGCCTGAAGATTTTGGATATTTGGAGCATGGATTTCACAGGGTAGCAACCTTTTTCCTGACAGCTGTCTATTTCCGATCCCTGTCCTATGGTCAAAATAGCATATGATGGTCCTTCTAGATTTCCTTCGTTTGTTCATTCCTTCCTTCCCTTCTTCCCTCTGTTTCTCTCTCCCTCTCTCTCCCTCTCCCCCTTCCTTCTTTCCACCCTCCTTTCTTACCTCCTTCCCTCCTTCCTATCACTCCCTTCCTCACTCTCTTCCTCATTTCCTGCCTTTCCTTTCCTTTTTCTTCTTTTTGCAGTGCCAAGGCTTGAAACCAGGGCCTCACACATGCTGGACAAGTACTCTGCCACCAAGATACATCCTTAGCCATTTTCTGCTTTTTCCATTTTCTGAGGCAGCATGGTTATTCCAAAAATTATAATAAACTTTTCATACTGGCTCAGATGAGTTTGAATGAGTGCTTATTTCTTACAGCTAGAGAAGCTGTGACCCTGGCAAGCCTTCTTTTTAGGAAGACAGGATACTTTAGTTAAGGCTTGAAGCTTCCTATTTGGTTGAACCAGAGACCTGTGCCTGGAAGCTACTCACTTTGAGTAAAAAAAGACAGATAGTCACATTTCTAGAGGAAATGATGAAGAGCTAGAACAGCCCCTAAAAGGCTAATGTGGTTATAAGACTAAGCAGAGATGAGGGGACAGATACACCTAGCTATTGTGGGGATAATGGGGTCTGGGGAGTGGGGAGGAATGACAGGATGCCTAGAAGGAGGCTGGGGGTGCAGTTCTTTTGTACATCTGGAGAGGAGACTCAAAAGAAGGGGACAGAGAACACTCTTCAGCTGCCTTAATCCTGAAAACTGAGTCTAGACAGCTTGTGTGTGACTTTGATTTTGGTATGGACAATTCTATAACCAATTTAGGACACCTTCCACAAGTTTGTGTGCCCACATCAAACAACTCTATACTTCTCTGACAATAATCAGAAATTCCAACAATAAGGCTAGGCATTGTGGTACATGCCTGTACTAACAGCTACTTCCAGGGCAGAGATGCAGAGGATCAGTTTGTAACTAGCTGGGCAATAAGTATGTGAGTCCCTAGCTCAATCAATAAGCCAAGTGTGGTGGGATGTGTCTTTTGTCCCAGGCCATAGGTAGGAGGATCTGTCTGAAGCTGGCCCCAGGAAAAAAAAAATACAAGATCCTACTTGAAAAATAACTGAAGCACAAAAAGGGATGGAAGCATGGCTTAAGTGGGAGAATGCTTGCCTAACAAGGGTGAAGAACTGAGTTTAAACCCTCGTCCGAGGGGCTGGGAAGGTGGCTCAGTGGTAGAGCGCTTGCCTTGCATGCATGAGGCCCTGGGTTAAATTCCTCAGCACCACATACGCAAAAAAGAAAGAAGCTGGAAGTGGTGCTGTGGCTCAAGTGGTAGAGTGCTAGCCTTGAGCTGAAGAGCTGAGGGACAGCGCCCAGGCCCAGAGTTCAAGCCCCACGACTGAACCCCCCCCCCAAAAAAAAATAGAAAAACCCTCATCCGAAAGCCAAACCAAAATAAAATGAAAACAAAAACAAAAACCTGGAAACCACTATCAAACAATTCAGTTCAATTCTGACACTGTCTGTAGTTAGCCTAGACACCACAGGTTTAAGGGCTCAGTCTCACAAGACTGCCCTCACTGTAGACACCGGACATAAGCACTGGGCTCCCAGGCTGCCCACATTTTCTCTCTGGTGTGGCCACAAAGCTGTGGGTTCCCACAGCAGCTCCCTCTGGGTTTGATAATTTGCTAAAATGATTCACAGGACTCCAGGAGTCCAGTTTAATATAAAAGGATTCAACTCAAGAACAGTCTGACAGGATAAGGTCTTCAAGGAGTGATGGAGCTTTCTAGTCTCCCTCCCAGTTCCCAATCTTCTCAGTTCTTCTATGTGGTCACAAACCTGGAAGCTTGCTCTCTCAGTCCTGTCGTTTAAGGCTTCTTACTGGAGATTTCACTGGGCAGGTAGGATTATTCAAAGCCTTGCTATTGGTGCCTGAACTCAATGTCCAGACCCTCTCCCCTCCCCAGCGATGTGATAGGTGTGCATGCAGGAAATGGTTTTATGGGGAGATATAAAGTGAGGAGGGGGAGTGCTGTAAGCGCTCACCCTCTCATCTTGACTTCTCCTTTCCGGCAATGCTGAGCACCCAGTCCTGAAGCTCTTAAGGGTCCCAGACACCTGTCCTTTCATCGGCATATAAAACACATGCTGGTTTTTTTTTTCACTCCAGGGATTCCAAGGATTTCTGGCCTGGTGTGTCAGTAACTGGGGACAATCACCAAATAATTATTTTCTGCCCTAACACAGTTGTGAACTATGAACTCTTGATTAGCCCTGTTCCCGAGGACACTGCTCCCAGTGAAATTCTAGGAAAATTCTTGAATCCCTTCTCCCCACAGTGGGACAGCCTGCTTTAGAGAGAGGCTGGTCCTAGCCAGCTCCTTGTTCGAGACAATGATGTAGGCTGAAAGTCCACCCCAAAAGGTTGGTCCCTCCAGCAGGAATGAGTCCTTTTCTCTTTTGGGCCCCAGCCAAAATGTGTCTGTGTTTCTTGTGAGCCTTGGTGGGTCTGCATGCTGGTTGTGGATTCTATTCATATTGGTGAGGATATGGGTTCCTTTGTGCTCTGGAGCCCTTGCTGACTAATAATGGTTATTGAATTAAAATATTGAAAGTATTTGTAGAATAAGGGAATGAATTACATCTATCTATCTATCTATCTATCTATCTATCTATCTATCTATCTATCTATGGATATGCACACATGTCCATCATTCCCAGAGCCTCAGCTCCAGGGCCTTGTCTGGAGATGTTTCCTAAGAATATATTTGAGGGCTGGGAAGGTGGCTCAGTGGTAGAGTGCTTGCCTTGTATGCATGAGGCCCTGGGTTCGATTCCTCAGCACTACATAAGCAGAAAAAGCCAGAAGTGGCTCTGTGGCTCAAGGGGTAGAGCGCTAGCCTTGAGCTGAAGAGCTGAGGGACAGCGCCCAGGTCTAGAGTTCAGGTCCCATGACCAGCAGAAAAAAGAATATTTCAATTTTCAGGGCTAGGAATGTAGCTTAGTGGCAGAGTGCTTGCCTAGCATGCATGAAGTTGTGGCTTTGATTCTTCAGTACCACACAAACACAAAAAGCCAGAAGTGATGCTGTGGCTTAAGGGGTAGAGTGCTAACCTTGAGCAAAAGAAGCTCAGGGACAGCGCCGAGGCCCTGAGTTCAAGCCCTAGGACTGGAAAATATGTATGTATGTATATATATATATAGAGAGAGAGAGAGAGAGAGAGAAAGAGAGAGAGAAAGAGAGAGAGAGAGAGAAAATATTCAATTTTAAAAATTATTGTTATTAAGGAGTTGTGCAAAAAGCTTACAGTTCTATACATCAGGTTATGTGTACAGTGGTTCTTGGACATTGTCACCCCCTTCTTCATTTTCTCCTGTTTCAGTTTTGTTCTATTTTTTATTTCTTCCTTTTTTCCCTTTCTTTTTCTGTTCCTTTCCTTTTATTTTCTTCCTCCTTCCCACCTTTCCTCCCTTTCTCCTTCTCATCCTGTCTACTTCTTATTTTCCTTCATTTTTTGGGACTTACTGTGAACTCATGGTCCACCTTCCTCAGCTTCTCAAGTGCTGGGATCACAGGTATGAGCCACCACTTCTGGCTACACCTTCAGTCTCAGGCAACATTCCTCTACTTGATCATAGCTCTGGCCATAGTCTGGGCAGCTGGACCAGGCCTAGGCTGCAGCCTGTCATATCCCCTAGTCAGATGGGCTCAATCTCCCATTCTTCTCATATCAACAGCCTTTTGGCTCTCAGGCTGGCTGTAATGGTAGAGGCAAGTTCCCCAAACGTGCTCTAGGAGGGCCATTTGCTACTCCTTGTTGCTACCCAGCAAACCTCCCTTGAGATGCCATTCTGTCTCGGGCCCCCTTAGGGGTTCTCAGATGGTTAGTGGGGTATTTGTCTCAGATTGGAGTCAGAC